GAGAAATAGGTTCTAAGGAAGACAATGTAACACCGCCAGATGCAGAAATGAAATGTACTGCTCCCTCCTTAGATGAATTATGCTGTGGAGAATTAAAATGGGAGAAAGAATAATTCATATCCCAAGTAATCCTTCCTTTGGAACTGCTCACTCTTTCTAAGGTCTATATTCTTTGTGTGTGTGTGTGTGGGGGGGGTTATTTTAAAGCCTGGAGGCAGAGAAGTTTATCACTATACATCCCAGAAAAGTATGTTCACTCTGATTTCTGATTTTTTTCATGTACATTTGTAAATTTGTGTGTGCAAGAGATTAAGGTTAAACTGATTATGAAAAAAATTATAACGATGGAGAATTTGTTTTCATTCTGAAATAACCAGTGCCCTCTGTCTTCTGAAGGTAATCAGAGAGTAAGAGGGCTGAAAATATGGCTTTATGTGTTGAGGGAAGAGGCCCGAGGTGGATGTGGGCAGGCCTTCAAATCCAATTTGCACCCAAATTGGCCAAGTAAGATACACAAAGCCCCATCAAGGGACTTTCAACTTGCACAATACTCTGTCCAAAAACCCTTCCCCCTCCATTTCGGCTAGTAGCAGTTCTAAAAAGAAGCCTTCGCTGATACAACCTTAGGCTATTGAGTAAACAGTGCATGTTTTCTTGAACAAGATATATATATATATATATATATATATATATATAACATATCATATATCTTCCTATCTCTCCATAAAGTACAATTAAAATCATTAAAAGGCATTCAAACTCATTTCCTTGAAAATTGCAAATAACCTTTGCATTAGGGGAATAGATTATTAATATTATTTTAAAGCATATTCTATTCATTCCTATAAAATTTCATACTTTGAGTGACTTGTATTCACGAAATCCTTAAAATAATATAACACATTCTTAGTTTGCATGCAAAACGTTTTCCCAGTCAATACAAGCTCTTGGCATATAAAATCAGAGTATTGCAGCTTTCATCAGCAAACCCCAGTTTTTACTACTTGAAAGTATACAGGAAAAATAAACTCATTTTCACCTGCTAAAATTTTATTCAGGATTACAAAGCAATGCACACTCAGCATTGACCCAAGAAACACCTTAAAACATTAAAAATTCATCAGTCAGAGCTGGTGTTGTATTCAAGGAATGCTCCTCCAGTTTGCTGCTGAGCTCAGATTTGAATAAAATGTCCAATGTTAACAAACAATACCCACGTTTGGCACTTTGTGTATTAAATTGATCAAACAGATTTTAGGAGGCACAATGCACAATTTGTACAGACCTGATTGAGTTAATATAATATCAGCAAATTTTACATCGAAATGATTCTGTTTCTTTTCTTTGTGTTTAAAACCAGCACAGATTACAAATTTTAATGATCTGAAAATGTTTGGTATACAAAATCATGCTTATTTCAGTATTAGCAAAAACACAAGAAATTTTTCAACACAAACACCCAGCTGTGTCTATTTTAAAAGCAGTTCAATGACAGCTTGCACTTATGAGCATGCAATCAGCTAATTTCGCTTTTTTTTTCTTCTGTGTTAATCAACACTTTCCTTCCTGCATATCAGAGTACAAATAGTATAGTTACTCCACATCAGTAAATGTTTACGTAACCTGTCCTTTCCCAAGAATCCGGTTACACCGAATCATTTCACGCTAGACCGACTACGAAAACGTACCGGGCCGTCCACCTCAGAGGGAGCCCTGTGTGCCATTATAAGTGGTGGTGAGAAGGGGGGCTGTGGGGGGAGAAATGGGGAGGAGTAGGTGGAGGAATGGAGAGAGGGAGAGGAATGGAGGGAGGGGAAGGGGTGGGGAAGTGAAGGGGGAAGGAGGGAGAAAGAGGGGAGGAGGGAGGAAAGAGGAGTTGAGGAAAAGTAGGAAGAACCGGCCTGAAGAGGGGAGAAGAGTGGAAGGAGGAGAAGTGAACAGGAGGAGGAAGGCCCACAGATCTCTTCAGCCGGTTGGCAAATTCCATTAGCTCACCGGGCTCTGAGAAATCCCAAGCTTAGAATTGAACACTTGGGGACATATCATTATCAATGCTGATGACTGGGACCCTTGAGTTTTCCACACGCAAATAGTTTGTTTGATTAAAATAAGGAGATAAGTAGATATAGGAAATACACATCGTGTAGGGCTATTTGAAGTTAGTCCAATATTCAAGTTTCCTTTAAGGAGTTCCTTATAGATGAATATTTAAAATTCAATGCCATTTGTAATTGTCTGTTTGTGATTCCCTCCAAAGTTTCTCTCTTCCTTTCTCTCTTTGAAGTGGGGGGAGGGAGTGAAAATAACCCTTTATTTTCTGAGTATTCTTCTAGTGCATTTTTTATATTAGAATTTAACTTTCATCACATATAGGCACTCTTCCTTCCACTGTTTTAATACTAAATCTGACAGATTATTTAATTCTGAGTTTATGCTTACATTTTATAATTATTTACCTTACTATAGGGGGAAAGGTGCTTTTTATTTATACTCCTCCACCTCCCTCTTCTTTCAGACTACATCCTCCGTAAAATGTGGTATGTTTCGTGCCCATGTGGAATGAAACAGCCTTTGATCAGTGTGCTCCGTAGTAAATTCCAATCCCTGGGAAATGCTGGGCCTTAGCCCTGCCCCTGGCCACGGGATCCTTTTAAAGCCCCAGAATCGCAATCTTGCCGCTCACTTGAACCTTCAAACCTTTCCAGTCCCAAAGCCCCAGAAGCTGGGAATGTGTGATCCACGTTCCCAAGGCCTCTTACATGCCATTCAGCAGCATTCAGGGTGGGTAAGGGCTGGGTTCTGCATACTGATATTTCAGGACTCAGGTCCTTACAAAATAAAAGCATTTGAGAAATAGGAAGGATTTTTTTTTAAAACCCGGAAAGAAATAGACTCCCACTTATTTTCCCTCCAATGTCAACAAGCAAACTGAAAATATTTCCAGGGTGCTCACTCGCGGCTACCAGCTTCCAGTTCCGATTAGAAGCTGAAGAGAAGCTGGAGCGGCGAGGAGAAAGCGACAGCGAGTCACCCCGCGCGTGAGGGAAGGTCTGGAGTAAGAGAGAAGGTGAAAGAAGAGACACACGTACAGAGCATGTGTTACCTGATTTATTTCAAGACTGTTTGGTACTGTGTTCTCTCTGGGCACCTCTCATTTCGGAAGGCCATCAGAGGCGCCCACCACTGAGCAGCCCCTGCCCGCCGCCACAGCACCCGGAGCCCCCAGGCCCGGCTTCCCCGCGGCACCGAAGCCCCGAGCTCGCCGCTGCTCGGGCCGCAGGAAACGAGTAAGTAACCCCGGTTTGGCCTCGCGCTCGCCGGCCCAATTCCTCCTCCTTATCCCACCACTCGCAAACCTGTCCCCTGCCCTCCTCCCACAACGTAGAGGACATCCTTCCACCCACCAGGGTGGGCCTTCACCCCACCCCACCCCACCCCACCCCCAGATCCGAACCTTCGGCAGAAGATTACCTAAAAGGGACACAATTTTCCTACGGGCTCAGAAATGCCAGACCCAGGCCTGCAGGGCCGACTCGGGAAAAAGTAGTGCCTCGCTTCTTCCTCCTCCATTTCCAGCCCTCTCCTAGCATCCTCTCCCTGCGCTCCCACTCTTCCCTCCACCGCCACCACCCCCACGTTTAAAAATAAAATTGGATACAAACTTTAATCAATAAGGACAAATATTGACGCTCAAACGAAAATGACCCAATACAAGGAGAAGGAAGCCGGAAATGTGAGATATTTGCCCTAGGAGAGGGATTTCGGTTGATCAGAGCCGGCGGGGTGGAGGGGGTGGAGGGGGCGCGGAGCGGGGCTGCGGCACAGCGTGCTCCCGCCGGCGTATCCCTACGCGGCTCCGCACGGCCGCAAGGTCCGAGGCCCGTAGAGAGGCTATTCATTCCTATAAAATTTCATACTTTGAGTGAC